GTCACCGGTGACCGCTTTCCACTAATATTACATTACATTATAGACCTTATTTCTAATGTTTAGAGAATACTTTTGTATGACCAAATTTAGGGGATAGATATCAACGGGTTAAAGAATTCGTAAATAAATAAATTTTGTGAATCACATAATATATTTCATGTATCCATTGAAACATATTATTTTATTACATTTTTTTTTATTTTTTTTTAAATTTATTACATTTTTTTATCTTAGACATGTTTTGTGAAATAGTATTATAATATTGGTATATAAGAAATACCCCTCCTTAGTAGGCTTTAAGGTGGACCATGATCAAAGAATTTGATTAACATTTAGTCAGCTTTTAAGAATCAATAAAGTTATCTAAATTAGGTATTTTGTGGTTGGGAACATTTTTGCACAACTGTTCTTATAAAATAAAGTAGTCGTGAAAATAATGTTCTATATTACTTACCTTTCCCTCCACGTTTTTGTTTTGCTTTCTCCTGTTTGTCAGCACTTGTTACGACCTTCACTCTGGCACTGTTTGGCCCATCTTCAGTACCATCTCCAATCTACAATTAATTTATAGTTATTAATTATTTTATTAGAAACTTGCTACTTTCGCGCGATTTTTCTAGCCCTGCTCGGCGACTATTGATCATAGCATGGTGTTTTATAGCTTATTATACCCTTTCTTGATAAATGGGCTATCCAACAGAAAAAGATTTTTTTAAATTAGGCTAGTACCTAGTTCTTGAGATTAGTATGTTTAAACAAACAAAGTCTTGAGCTTTTAATATAGTATTGGAACTACATAATGTATTATTATTAGTAGTAATCACTTTTAACTCAAAAGTATACTCAATGCAAGTGCATAGTTTCAAAAGTTGCTCCAAAACAAATGGCAAAATTTACTACATAATATACAAAGTACTAAGACTATTTCTTTACTATCATTAGCTTATAACTGTCTGTTTGGTTACTTAATTTTTTTTAGTTTCAATGTTTTTTTCTTCTGTCAATGTGGACTTCATATTGTATAGATTAATATACATTGGAATAATTTGGACTTTACTTACTTTTACATTATACACATTCTCATCATCTTCCTCATCGGAGTCAGATTCTTGGGCAGTGACCTGAACAGTAGTGCCTCCATCTATTACAGTTTTCATCAGAGGCACCTCAGCTATTTTGTTATTATTAGCTAAACGAAATATCTGAAGAAAGATACAAGATTTATTATCAACGAAATACATAATTTCTATTTTGTAGTACCTATCTGTGAATAAGTACACAATTTTTACAACATTCCTTGAATCTGACTTACTTTAACTAGGGATTGTGGCCAGGATATGGCAGACAACGGTGTGGCATTCTGCACATACTGCAAGATCTGTTCATCAGCTTGCCGACATACATGTTTGAAGTCATAACATAATTCCATGAAAAATTTGCAGCGGCTGCAAATATATGTTGGCATTTTGTCAGATGGGAAGACCTGAAAAATGTTAATATAATTAACACCTTTGAACCTTATATTGTAGGTACATTATTTTAGACATTATTGTTTTATTTCTTCCTATTGAAATTAATCATTATGGTTGTGTACACCAGATGGCGCCTGCAGAACAAAATAATTGAAAATTTCGACGAATTATGTACATACACATCAACCAAACAATTTCACAGAATCTTAATATGCAAAACATAGGCATAGTAAGTCATACAACAACGGTTATGCAGGGGAATAAGTAAACATTCGATTAATTGTTCAATATGTACATTCGGCGCCATTGCGCTGTACGTAGACAAAAACCATCAAATAACTGGAATAAAATATGTTACATGAAACTAGATAGTAGAAAAAAACACAAATATTGTATACCTCTATCGAGACGCATGATAATATTTTTAGTGGCAGATGAATGATATTTTTTGTAGCTCGTTTTTGGTAAATACTTGTTAGCGAATCTCCTTGAGCTAAACAAAAACGGCATATTTTATAGGAAGATAAACTATCCCTTCTCGTATCCGTAGTCATCTTGGATAACAATTCACAGCACTACACACTAAATAAAATTGATATTTTACTCCATAACCTCTTACGTTCCACACAAAATCACAAACGAAAACTGTAATTTCTAATGACACTAGCGCCACAAAATATAGTGACGCGTTCCTAGACGCCGACGTACAGCGCACCTAGCGGTAAGCAGATATAAACGTTTTGTTTCAACTACTACACACTAGATGTCACTAGTTTCTTATACAAATGTGATTTGAAATCCCGAATAATTTAATTGCTTTGCAGCAGATGCTTTGCAGCAGGAGACTGTCAGGAACAGTTTATTATTTGCAATTACTTGTATTGCACATTTACATTTTTTTTGCAATAATTGTACCAATAATTGTATCATTTCATCAAATCGAGAGATTGCATACTATGCGACTGCTGAGTATACCATTGGTACCTACGATTATTCCTAACATGCCTTGCCTATTATGCATACATGCAGATATACATTTTTAAGACCAAAATAATCATAACATCGTTGACAATAAATTCAGGGAGAATAAAGGAAGTGATATCAAGTTCTATGAACTTTCACACTTTAGTCTGAGCTACTTACCTACTTCTCCAGTATTTAATTGGTCTTTGGCTCTAAAGATTAAGTAGATGATTACCTATCTATCACATTTACAGCTCAAATTGATAGTAGTAACTTAGTCCTATCTAAATACTCTCCTTATATTTTTACCTGCTAAAATTCGGCATCAAAGTAAACAGAAACTTCGCAGATATCGTCTATCGTACCTAGTAGTTAGGGGTCACTTTATATCTAAGAAGGAAGACTTCTACAAAGATAAATTTTAGATATCCACATTACTATTATTCCTTTTAGATAAATAATTATAATTAACACCGTTTGGGAAGTAACTTTATTATTAATCTTAATTTAGTCTTTATAGCAGGAAGATATTTAGTTTTCTCTCAATCGTGTTTATAAAAATGCATAGGTATGACATTTGCCTTATTTTTATGGAATAAGCCGGTAAACGAGCAGACTAATCACTTGATGGTAAGCAATCGGCGCCCATGGACACCCGAAACACGAAAGGTGTTACAAGCGCGTTACCGGCCTTTTGGAGATCAGGAATTTGACGATTATTAGGGATTCGGGGATTGATTAGGGAGGGGGCTAATTGGGCCTCCGGTAACTTTAGATGACCTTAACCGGTAACGTTAGGTTATCAAATAGGTACCTAGGCAGGTCCAATTTTGGGTAGTCCTGACGACAGAACAAGCTACTTATTGTCTAAAAACTTATCAACAATGTGGGAATGACAAATTATTGGAATTGAAATTAAATAGATAAGATTCGATAGCATTTACTTATATTATGTTAGGTAGGTATATATATTATGCCGTATCTAGTAATTATTAATGTGATTATAATTTTGTTATCGGACTTTATACAAGGCTAATTCCAGTGTATCAACATCTTCCTTCACAGATGCTTTAAATCGTTGCTCTTATGTAGTGTCGTGTTAATTGTGTCACAAATAAACAATAAATAATTCGGCCATATTATTTATTATGGAGCCGAATCATAGAAGTTTGCAAAAATCGAGGCATTCTCTCGATAGTGCTTTAGTGTCTAAAAATGGTTCTGGATTGTAAGTAGATATATTTTTTGTGTTTAAATTAAGTGTGAATCTAGGTGTTTTTAGTTATGTTTTAAGTAAAATAGGAACGGAATTAATAAATTAAGTACCTCATGATTTTTTTTATAAGATTGTTGTCAAAGTCAGTCTTAGTGTTGAACTAGTGAGTACCTGCCAGTTTTAGTGTTTTACGATATTATAGTACTATTGTTGGATATCAATAATCCTATTGAATGGGCAAAATATAATCAAGTGTTTGGTTAAGTACGCCTTCACTTTAATGTATGGTACATATTTTTTTCAATTACCACGCGCATTACCATCACGTCTGCTATTTCTTAAGGAGGTAGAATGAGTGAAATTTCCGATAAATAATTAAGTAATATTATAGTTTTTAACCTAGGTACTAATAGAGCTTTTACTCAATTTTTATTCTACACTATTGCAGAATGTAGAAATAAAGAGTAGGTTAGTAGGTACCTACCTAAAGTAGTACTTGAAAATAATATTCTAGTATTGAATTTTTAGATATATGGTCTCTATTGTCTCATAGTCTGTTAGTGCGAGTACAAAATGTAGGTACAGGTACTGGCAAGATGAAGCTAAAAATATCCGGGAACTAATTAATTACTGTACTTATTAGGTATGCTGTTGCAGTAATTATTCAGTAAAATCGGTACGGTAAATGAACGCGATGGAAACTAAATTTAAATGTATTACTATTTGTATTTAACTAAATAAGGTAACCAATTAATTTAAGATAGCATTAAAAAACTGACACATAAGAGTTTAGTTCCAATCACATACATTTTATCGACAGGTGGCGCCCTTCATCAATTGCAAACATAGCCAGTGACTACCTTAGAAGACCAGACCCAGTACTTCAATCCGTGCCTGTAAACAAAATAAGCAATGGGACTGTCGCAAACAATGTTCAAAGCAACAGTAATAGCAGCAATAATGGCAGCATCAGTCCACAACCGAGCAATAATGTAAACAATGAACAGAGACGTCCAGGAACTCCTACTCCTGCGTTACTTACACCTCCTCAAACACCCACTGATGAAAAGGTAACAAAAGTATTTTTTTATATTATAAGTTAGCCGGCAAACGAGCAGATAGATCCTAGACCTGGGTGCTTACTCTTGAAACCAATCTCAATGTCAATGCAATTTCAATCCAATAAAATCTCAATAATTATCCAATGTCAAAACTATACAACC